TTTGTAGAGGTGGGGTCTTGCCATGTTGTCCAGGCTGGTCTCAAACTCCTAGGCTCAAGCAATCCACCCTCCTCAGCTTCCCAAAGTGCTGGGATTACAGGCACGAACCACTGTGCCTGGCAGATATATATATATATTTTTTTTTTTGAGATGGTGTTTTGCTCTTATTGCCCAGGCTGGAGTGCAATGGGCGATGTCAGCTCACTGCGACCTCTGTCTCTGGGGTTCAAACAATTTTCCTGCCTCAGCCTCCTGAGTAGCTGGGATTACAGGCATGTGCCACCATGCCCAGCTATTTTTGTATTTTTTTAAATATATATTTTATTGCATTTTAGGTTTTGGGGTACCTGTGAAGAACATGCAAGATTGCTGCATAGGTACATACATGGCAATGTGGTTTGCTGCCTTCCTCCCCATCACCTATATCTGGCATTTCTCCCCATGTTATCCCTTCCCATCTCCCCATCCCCTGCTGTCCCTCCCCTAGTTCCCCCCCACACACCCCAGTGTGTGATGCTCCCCTCCCTGTGCCCACGTGTTCTCATTGTTCAACACCCGTCGATGAATGAGAACACGCAATGTTTGATTTTCTGTTCTTGTGTCAGTTTGCTGAGAATGATGGTTTCCAGGTTCATCCATGTCCCTACAAAGGACACAAACTCATCGTTTTTTATGGCTGCATAGTATTCCATGGTGTATATGTGCCACATTTTCCCTGTCCAGTCTGTCATCGATGGGCATTTGGGTTGGTTCCAAGTCTTTGCTATTATAAATAGTGCTGCAGTGAACATTCATGTGCATGTGTCCTTATAATAGAACGATTTATAATCCTTTGGATATATACCCAGTAATGGGATTGCTGGGTCAAATGGAATTTCTATTTCTAGGTCCTTGAGGAATCGCCACACTGTCTTCCACAATGGTTGAACTAATTTACACTCCCACCAACGGTGTAAAAGTGTTCCTATTTCTCCACATCCTCTCCAGCATCTGTTGTCTCCAGATTTTTTAATGATCGCCATTCTAACTGGCGTGAGATGGTATCTCAATGTGGTTTTGATTTGCATTTCTCTGATGACCAGTGATGACGAGCATTTTTTTCATATGTTTGTTGGCCTTATATATGTCTTCTTTTGTAAAGTGTCTGTTCATATCCTTCGCCCACTTTTGAATGGGCTTTTTTCCTGTAAATCTGTTTTAATTCTTTTTAGATTCAGGATATTAGCCCTTTGTTAGATGGGTAGATTGCAAAAATTTTTTCTCATTCTGTTGGTTGCCAATTCACTCTAATTTTAGACTGTTTATTTTGCTCTTCAGAAGCTCTGGAGTTGATTAAGTCCCATTTATCTATTTTGGCTTTTGTTGCCAATGCTTTTGGTGTTTTAGTCATGAAGTCCTTGCCTATGCTTATCTCCTGAATGGTTTTGCCTAGATTTTCTTCTGGGTTTTTATGGTGTTAGGTCTTATGTTTAAGTCTTTAATCCATCTGGAGTTAATTTTAGTGTAAGGTGTCAGGAAGGGGTCCAGTTTCTGCTTTCTGCACATGGCTAGCCAGTTTTCCCAACACCATGTATTAAACAGGGAATCCTTTCCCCATTGCTTGTTTTATTTTTGTATTTTTAATAGAGATGGGGTTTCTCCATGTTGGTCAGTCTGGTCTTGAGCTCCCCATTTTACAGATAAGAAAATTGAGGTGAGGTTAAAGCAGTTGCTTATGGACACACAGCTAGGAGTGCAGGGCGAGAACTCCAGTGCAGGCAATATAGCCACAGGCCAGTATAGCTCTTAACCACTATGCTACATTACCTCTTCATGGATCTAGGGATCCAGGAGAATACCAATTAAAACAAGATCTCATTTGTTGTGCAAACTGGCAAATAAAAAAGACTGACCTAGTCAACAGGTCAACTGAGTACTATCAATATTGTTGGTGGGAGAACATAATGGTGCTCTTTTTGTAGTGATAAACTATTCTTACAGAAACAGATACTCTGAAAGTTCAGAAAATCTATTTACCCAATAAAAAGTGGACAAGAGTCAGATAGTTCCTTACTAAAACATTTTAACTTTTTTTTTTTGAGATGGAGTTTCACTCTTGTTGCCCAGGCCGGAGTGCAATGGTACAATCTTGGCTCAAAGCAACCTCCGCCTCCTGGGTTCAAGTGATCTCCTGCCTCAGCCTCCTGAGTAGCTGGGATTGCAGGCACGCACCACCACACCCAGCTAGTTTTGTATTTTTTGTAAAAACAGCATTTCTCCATGTTGGTCAGGCTGGTCTCAAACTCCCGACCTAACGTGATCTGCCCACCTCGGCCTCCCAAAGTGCTGGGATTGCAGGTGTGAGTCACTGCACCTGGCCAACATTAATTTTACTTATCCTGAAGGTAGCAGCATATCCTAACGTTCCTGCTTTTCTTTTCTCTCTTACTCCCCAGATGCCTAATAAAGGCTACCACAGGATGAGCACACCACTGCTCTCATGCTAACTTTTTGATGTGGCTGCTTCCCTTGTGCTTCAGGGTTTAATTAGCTCAGGTCAAGCTCTCCCTGAAAGCCTGTTTCTGGATGCGCTTAACATCACTGAATCGGTTGATTCACTTTTCCTTCTAGTGGGCTGACACAGATTCTGCTTTCTACTCTTTTCTGTATTTGTCTCTTACCCTCTTTCTCAACAGGTTCAAGAGCCAAGACTGAAAGTGAGAAGCTCAAACTTTTTTGCTTGTTCAAAAGCTATTAAAAAGACCTTTCTTCTTTCAGCAATATGGTTTTTCCAATCAGATGAAAATGCTGCTTCTGAAACCTCTCAGCCTCTCAATTCTCCATAAACTCTGGTTTACTGCCTACACAGCATGTTAAGTAACAATATTATTACATTGTTACATGTTAAGTAATAATATAATTACTTGAGGGAAAATAAAATCCATGTCATAGCTTTTCTAGCACTTTAGTCATCCCTATATACCTATATGATCCATTATGGAGAGAAACACAGAAACGCATATGGAGCTAAAAGAGGCTGCCACTAAACCACTACCTAAAAGTACTTAAAGTTTATCATGAATGGTAGTATGCAAAGGGGATACAGCCTTTATTTTTTAAAAAAGCAAACATCAATTTCCATTTGAAAAATCTCACTTGTACTTTTTGCACTGTGATCTAAAATGTATTACCAACTTAGTTTCTGATCATAGCAAAGCAATTAAAATTTGTAAGGGTGACATAGACATTGTGAAAACACAACAGCAGACCAAGAGAACAGTGCACTAAACCTCCAAGGGAGGAGCCCAAAAGTGATGACTACCTTTTCACCGCGGGTGGAATTTAAGAGCGTTCCACACTATAGATTACAGACAAGATGTATGAAGAGATTAAAGTCGGCGGGAGAATGGAAAATGTGAAGATACAAGTTTGCATTTTTTTTCATTTGCATCATATGGTGACAGCCTAACACACTCCACGAAAACACAAAGCTTCCTTACCACAGCGAGGAGAGGTTGCAAAAGCGGCACCACAACAGGCCCGAGGCAATGATTTTTCTACCCCACTCTATTCTAGCGTTGCCCCAGCGACATCACACCATTGCTGGACAGCTCCACCACCGCCAGGCGTTAACCACACCGACAGGAGCCAGCAAAGACACCTCGGCTAGGAGTCCCAGAGCGAGGCATCCCACACCCAAGCCTACGGTCCCCATCTAGCCGGAAAGAAAACCGAGGCGCTGAGGGGGAGGCAGTAACCAATGCCTCAGAAGGCCAAGAGTGTTAAGACAAGGTCGATCTTGGACTTCTCTTTCCCCACCTCCCCCAACTACTCCAGCCCCGGAAGAAGCCACAAGTTTGGAAGAGAAGTTGTGGAAACCAGACAGGGGTGGGGTGCGGTGCGGTGGGGGACCTGAGAGAGTTTTAAAAAGCACTGCTAATTGTCCCACACAAGGTCGCCCGCTCCAAGTCACTGTTCCCCGCTCCCCAGGTGGGCTTCCCGCCAGAGGGCTTCTAGCTTGCGAGATCAGCCGACCGCGCCCGCTCAGCCCTTCCCTGCGGGCCGCAGCTCCCTCCCGGCCTCTGGGTCCCGGCCGGGGATCGGAATCCAGCCTGCCTCTCCGACAGCGTTTCCGAAGCCCGGCGCCTCTCGCAGCCCCGTCCCCCAGGCTCCACTCTACCCACCCGCCACCCCCCGGGGCTCCCGTCAACGTCCCGGTCCTTCCTCCGGACGCCCCTGGGGCCGCCTCTTTCGCCCCGTCCCTCCGGGGGCCCGGCAAGCTGTTCCTTTCCTTTCCCCTCCCGTGGCCCTTCTTCGGTGGGACCCACCTGGCGCGGTACCCGTCCCCTGCCAGTCTCCTCAGGGAGCGGCAGTCTCCCAAGTCCTCCCGGCCCCGCCCCGCTCCCGGGCGGATACAGTTTGAAGCCCCTCAGGATCTCCCTGGCCCGCTCGTCCTTGGCTGACATGATGCGGCGGTCGCCGCCCGCGGCTTTCTCACTCTGGTCGGCGGAGCCTCGCAGACGGTGCCCAGGAGCCGAGGATGGAGCCGCAGCCCGGCCTGGAGACCTCGGGAGAGCAGCAGTAGCGGTCAGACCCGGACCGGCCTCTCTCTCCCCTCAGCTCCCGCTCCTGATCCCTTCTCCTTCCCTCAAGCCTCGAGTGCCCTACTGGAACCAATGGAAAGCCCGCCTTGGCAATTGGCAACCCAATCAACCAATAGGAGCGCGCAGCGGCTTCGCAGGGGGACTGTGAACGTCAATGGGAAGGGCCCACCCCGGGAAGTCCCAAAGGACATAATATTCATCTGGTGTTGTTGCCTAGAGTTTGTCCCAGCGGAGGGTTGCCTTCGGATATGCAGAGGCTTTAGGGACCTGCTCCCGCCGCTGAGCACACTAACAGTCTGAGACGGCAGCTAGTTGCACTGTGCAATGCGACAGACTACATTTCCCAGCATTCCAGCGACGCACTCGGGGACCACAGATCCCAGCGCACCACGAAGAGGCCCGGGGACTACAAATCCCAACATCCCCTGCACTCGGTTCCTTTATAACTTAAGGCTCCAGTGTGCCGCGCAGTGTGCACAAATTCATAAACCCGCCAGCTGAGTTGGTGGTTTCGGAATCCCGAGACTTGAAACCAGGCGGGAAGACCCTTCTCACCCTCCAAAGATGACAGCCCGCAGACAGTTAACTTCTGTTTACATGGAACTCAGACATCTTCTGCAAATCATGGTAAGGCACCAAACAACAAACAAAAACACTGATTGAACCGTGAAAGATAACAAAATGACTTCTTCAAGTCTGCTTGTTTGTTGGTCTCAGGCGCCTTTTACGTGTTTTTCAGGGGTTTTTGCTGTATTCCTGCTTTGGACCAGGACAGCTATGGATTGTATACTCAATATCAATACAGAAAGGGACTTTGCTAATCTACCCCGGTTTTACGTTTGAGGAAACTGAGACCCAGAGAGGCGAAGGGATTGGTCACAGATCACAGCAAGTTCGGGCGGAGTTAGAATTCGGCCCTAAGTCTGCTGACTTGCAGTCCGGACTCTGCACCACACTAAGGAGGGGATATTTTTAGCAGGATGGCAATGTGAATTATTATTCTCCTTGAACGGTTTTCCCACCCAGTGTTGAAACACCCAGATATTAGGTAGCATTTATTTGGTGATTTCTTGTAAGTGAGTGTGATATTTATTTATTTTCAGCCTAGGTAGGACTTGGTGTTTTGTTCATTGCCACTCAAAGTGACATTTAACATGATTTCAGGAAGTAGGTAAAATTGCAGTGTGAGCCACAGTTTCCTTGGAGACCTCCTATGTCCTTCTCTTGGCCTTCCTTCCTCTGCCTGTCCTCGCTTTCACCCATCTGGGAACTCACCCAATTTTTTTCTTCCATGTAATTCAACAAACATGTTTTCAGCCTGTTATTTGTCAGGCACTGAGTGGGTAAAAGGTGAAGGACATGGTCGCTGCCACCAGGAAGATAAACAAAACATCTATTTAGAGAAATAAGGAGACTCCACTGAGATTCAAGATGGAGTGTGGTAAAATGGCATAAAGAAATGACATCAGAATGCTAAGGAGGCCCTGATAAAAAGGTTCATTGCAGCTGGCAAAAGTTTAATGAGAAGGTGGCATTTGAGCTTGAATTCTTTTTTTCATGTTAAAAAAGTTTTTGTTAATGAGGTGTAACATACATACAGTAAGGGAACAATTTTCACATAGGTATACGCCCCTGTCCCTGCTGCCCAAATCAAGATAAAGGACATTTCTAGCACGCCTAGCGCTCCTTCCCAATCAGTATTACATTCTTACATACTGAGATAATCACTTTTCTGACTGTATCACCATAGATCAGTTTTGCCTGTTCTTGAATTCCAGTTAAATGTAATCATAGAGTATGTACAGTATGTGTCTGGCTTTTTAACTTTGTCAGTATTTTTGTGAAATTCATCCATGTTGTGTGTAGCCTTTTAACTGCTGAATAGTATTCTGTTGTATGTGTATACCACAATTTATCTTTACCACTTTTGGTGGGCATTTGGGTTATTTTTTTGGACTATTATTAGCAAAGCTGTAGTGAGCATTCTTTTTTTTTCTTCCTCCATCCCTTTATTTTGAGCCTTTGTGTATCCTTGCATGTGAGGAGCATTCTTACATGTATCTTTTTGTAGACACTTGCACACACTTCCAGGATAGGAATTGCTGGTGTGTAGGGAGGGTTTGCACATGATCAGTGATAGTAGACATTGCTAGTCTTTCAAAATGATTGTACCAATTTACGCCTTCACCAGAAATATGAGAGAGTTCTAGGTGCCTCTTATCCTTGTCAACACCAGATGTTTGCTGTCAGTCTTCTTAATTTTAGCCATTCTAGCTGAATGTGGTATCTCATTAAGGTATCTACGTTTTTCCTGATGTTGAGTACCTTTCAATATGCTTCTTGGCTAGTTGAATGTCCTCCTTTGTGAAGTGCCCATTCTTTTCCCGACTTTTAAAAATTGGGCTGTCTTCTTACTGATATGTAGTTCTTTACAGTCTGGATATGGAGTTCTTTGATATATGCTTTGCAGATGTCTTTTCCAAGGCGTAGCTTGTCTTTCCATTCTCTTACTGGTGTCTTCTGAAACAAATTATTTCAAGGGATGGGGTCTCTGCTATGTTGCTCAGGCTGGAATGCAGTGGCTATTCACAGGTACCACTACAACCTTGAACTCTTGGGATCAAGTGATCCGCCTGCCTCAGCCTCCCAAGTAGGACTATGGGTATACTCCACTGCATCTGACAAGCAGAAATTCTATTTTTTAGATGGAGTCTTGCTCTGTGGCCTAGGCTGGAGTGCAGTGGCGCAATCTAGACTCACTGCAACATCTGCCTCCCGAATTTAAGTGATTCTCTTGCCTCAACCTCCCAAGTAGCTGGGACTATAGGCTCCTCCCACCATGCCTGGCTAATTTTTATATTTTTGGTAGAGACAGGGTTTCACTACGTTGGCCAGGCTGGTCTCAAACTCCTGACCTTGTGATCCATCCACCTCAGCCTCCCACAGCACTGGGATTACAGGTGTGTGCCACCGAACTTGGCCAGAAATTCTTAATTTTAACATAGTGCAAAAGTTCCGTGTCTTCTAATATGGTTAGTGTTTTTTGCATTGTATTTTAGAAATCTTTGCTTGTAGAGTTGATAGGATTTTTACAGGAATATATAAGAGCATTACAAAAAAAGAGAGCAAGCTTGAGCACAGGCCTGGTGTCTGAGAAGGAAGGTTTAAGTTGTGCCAGGCATGGGAGTTTGGACTGTGAAGGGGGTGGGGTGCAACAAAGCAAAGCTCCAGGAGTTAGGAGGGAGGCATACTTTGAAGGGCTTTAACTGCAGCCATGGGCTGGGCGTGGTGGCGCACACCTCTAATCCCAGCACTCTGGGAGCCAAGATGGGAGGGTCACTTGAGATCAGGAGTTGAAGACCAGCCTGAGCAACATAGTGAGATCACCCCATCTCTAAAAAAAAAATAGGAACAAATTTGCTGACTGTGGTGGCACACATCTGTAGTTCTACCTACTTGGGAGGTGGAGGTGGTAGGATCCCTTGAGCCCAGAAGTTCAAGGCTGCAGTGAGCTATGATAGTGCCACTGCACTCCAGTCTCGGTGACAGAGTAAGACTCCATCTCTTAAGAGAAATAAACCAAAACACTAAATCCAAATTGCAGGTATGGAGTCTGGACATTATTCTGGAGGAAGTGGAGACATTGCTGAAATTTTTATGAAGTCCAACTAAACTCACTTGTCTTTCTCTCACTTCCATATCTGCCCCTCCTCTTCCATAGCTCTGTTCACCTAACACCAGCTCCAGACAGCTCTGGCCTCGCAGGACAGAATCCTGGGTGTTATGCTCCTTCCCTCTCTCTGTATTCAACTCGTCACCAAGTCACCAAGTCCTATAGATTCTTCAGTCTAAATGTCTCCAAAAATATCACTTCTTTTTCATCCCTAATGGCCACTACATTTGTTTTTATTTGTTTGTTTGTTTTGAGATGGAGTCTTGCTCTGTCATCCAGGCTGGAGTGCAGTGGTGCAATCTTGGCTCACTGCAACCTCCACCTCCTGAGTTCAAGCGATTCTCATGCCTCAGCCTCATGCATATCACCATGCCCAGCTAATGTGTATCACCATGCCCAGCTAATTTTTGTATTTTTAGTAGATATGGGGTTTCGCCATGTTGGCCAGGCTGGTCTTGAACTCCTGACCTCAGGTGATCTGCCTACCTCAGCCTCCCAAAGTGCTGGGATTACAGGTGTGAGCCACCTTGCCCGGCAGTTGCCACTACCTTTGTTTGAGATCTCACAATCTTTATCTAGAATAAATCAGTCACCTCACTGGAGGTTTTCCCTGCCTCCAGTTTTCTCCACATCCAATCCATTCCTATAGCACCTAGCATGATCACTCTAAAAAGGCAGTTATTCATACCTCTTCTTAGCTTAAAAAGCCTAAGTAGTTCCCCAGTACCTGGCATGTGGATTCCAAGACCCTTGATGACCTGACTCTAGCTGTGTACTCCTCATTTCTCACTCTTGAACCCTGGAGTCAAGCCACTCTGGGTTTCTTTTTGATATTAGTATATGCTGCACAGTGCAAGCCTGTGACAATGGGCACTACCTGCCTTTTTTCCACTTTTTGCCTATTTTTACTTCCCCAACCTCTTCTCTTCTGTGCTTCCAAACTGTTGTCATATCTTCCTCATAGCGCTTAACACGTTTTTGGGGAGTAAGAACCTTGTTTTATCTTCATATAACTTTCCAGGACATAATAGGTGCTAAAGAAATGTTTTTGAATAAATGAATGAATGGGTTGGTGCGAGGTGCCTTTGCATCTGTCCTCTCTCATTTCTGCATTCTAATGCACAATAGGCAAATAGGGCTTTTTTCTCTCATTTTCAAGACCTGAAAGACTGTGGTGTATACAAGAATCAGTTTGTGTTCAATTATGTGGCACTTCTTAGCCATCTTCCCAGGGGAGTTGGTAAGCACCAGATGCAACGCTATCAATGACATTTTGGTCACAGAACATTGTTGGCTCAACCCATCTCTTGCTTATTTTAAAACATTTTCTGCATAGAGATTAAGAACATGGGCTTTGGCCTCAGATAGCTTGGGTTCCAAAGCAAGCTTTGTCACTTTCTGACTTTTGGACTTAGTTAACTCACCTGAAAAATGGGAAAAATAATACTAGCCATAGGTATGAGAATTCAACGAGATAATGCATGTACAGCACGTGGCATATGGAAAAACGCTCAATAAGGGGTAGGTAGCAGGCTTTATGTATCTGCATGCCCAGGGGTAACGCAGTCGCCATGGGGAGCTCCTGAGAGAGTGCAGCCTAAGGGGAGGTTTTGGAGCCCGGGATGGCGAAGGCGACGATTGGGCGGCAGTGCGGGCTAGGCCTCATTCCTCTCCTCTGGCCCCCAGCCACCCCCACCCCTCCTGGTTCCCGGGTTGCAGCCTCTTCCCCGCCACCTCGCCCCCACTTCCCCACCGGAGGTCGAAGGCTGTGAACGCGGCGGGGGGAACCTTGAGTGGGCGGAACGCGAGTGCAGCGGTGGGAGGCTTCCGGGGGAGCTGCACGGGCGACGGGTCGGCGGAGGCAGAAAAGCGCCGGACGCCGGGCTGATCATGGACGCTTGACAACCTGCGGGCAAGCGCCGGGAGGCCGAGCCAGCGACTCAGAGGACCGAGAGGTGGCGAGGACAGGTAGGGGCTAGCGAGAGGGTGGGCCGAGCGGGGCCGGCGTTCCAAGCTCGGCCGCATCATCAGGCTTAGCGCCAGGCGCCGAGGAAGCCCGCGGCCGTGCCGCCCCGCCCCCGCCTTAGGGAGCGCGCCCCGTGGCTCCTCACTCCACGCCTGCGGCCCAGCTTGGAACAGACCGCCCGCCCTGAAGTCTGCTGCAGCTTGCGACCCTCAGCATCAGCGCTGTGGCTGCCTTCGCTCTCCCATCCCCAGAGGCTGCCCATTTGCCCCACTCCGGTCCATCAAAATAGCGCCCTCCCCTGACGGGAATTTATCTCCGCCCTGTGCCTAGCCTCCTCTGTACCTCCCACTCCAGAAGAAAGCGACATCTCCTTACATTCTCTGCGCCCACAAGCTTTGCTCTTTTAAGTCGAGATCTATTGAAGGGACCGAAGTTTCTATTTCCCTACCGCTTTTCTACCCCCACCTCCTTCCATTCAGTCTCTTGGCAGAGATCCCCATCTGTCTCTTCACACGGGTCCGCTTGGAAGGGCCATTTCGCTCCTCCTCTCTTGACCGTCACCGACCCTCCTTTCTTCCCTGCTCCTTTCCTTCTTCCTCGTATCCTCTCCCCTTCTCTTTCCACTTTCCCTTCTTTCCTCAAAACCCGTTGTTTTCTAGCACTTCACTTTTTTTTATTTTTTTATTTTTCCCTGTGTCTGGCCGGACCTTTTTAGGTAATCCTAAGTGAGGCGACATACGTGTTTCTCTAATACTGTGAAAGGACTGCTATTCTGTTTGCCTGCTTCCACAAAACTTAGTTTCTCTTGCACCAAACTATTCTTCGAATTGTTCTTTGCTCCACTCTACTATACCGTCTTTTGTTCATTTTGTCAACGCTGCTCCAATATGTATAATTCTTGGAGGAGAAATCTTACCTGGAACTCCTGTACACTCAGCTTGTAATTAGATTATACAATTGAGGGACCCTCCTGTACCTAATGTCTTCGGAGTGGTAATACAATATTTTCATTGTTTTCTCAAATCTTGAGGTTTTGTACGCATTCTGCAGTCACGTTTGTTTAAAATGTCATAGGAGGAGGCCGAATACAGGGATTTTCCTCCATGGTCTTACACAGCATTCATGTTCTTAGTTTGAGTATGTCGCTGCTTTTCTTTCAAAATGATGTCTTCCTTTTCCGGTGCTTACCTGACTTGATAAGACATCTTTCGTGTCTTAATTTTTGTGTATTCCTGTAGATGGGATTATGATGGCACAGTGGGAGCTGTAACTGATTGCATTTGCTTACATCTGGTGCCTCTGTGTTTGGGCAGTATCCTCCATTTCTTAACCAGAATCTGTAAACAAGGTGGATATAAAACAGCTGCTGAGAAACTCCTGTGTTTTTCTTTAGGTCTTGATCAGGTTTAAGGATTTAGAAGGTGTTGCCTCTGGAGGAGGGCAGGTGGAAGTGAAATGACTTTTTTAAAGTGTGTTTCAAACATCAGAATTTAGGACAAGATCCTTTTAACTCCAGGTTGAACTCCACCCATCTCACAAGGTTGCATTGCATCTGGACTCAGGAACTGTTTTTTCTTTTTCTGAGACAGTCTTGTTCTGTTGCCCAGGCTGGAGCGCAGAGGCCTGATCTTGGCTCACTGCAACCTCCACCTCCTGGGTTCAAGTGATTCTCAAGCCACAGCCTTTCAAGTAGCTGGGACTACAGGTGTCTGCCACCAGCCTGGCTAATTTTTGTATTTTTAGTAGAGGTGGAGTTTCGCCATGTTGGCCAGGCTGGTCTTGAATCCCTCACCTCAGGTGATCCACCCGACTCGGCCTCCCAAAGTGCTGGGGTTACAGGCATGAGCCACCGCACCTGGCCTGTTTTTTATTTATGAACACTATAAAATTAAAGTATTCTGGTGTTTGATCCAGCACTAAATAGGCATGGACTTTGCAAAGGAGAAGGAAGAATGACTGACACACTTTTCTTTTGGACAGATTTCAAGGCCAGAGAATGGCAGGGGAACAGAAACCCTCAAGTAACCTCCTGGAGCAGTTTATTTTACTAGCCAAAGGTACCAGTGGCTCAGCCCTCACTGCTCTCATAAGCCAGGTCTTAGAGGCCCCTGGAGTGTATGTCTTTGGAGAACTTCTGGAGCTGGCCAATGTGCAGGAGGTAAGAACGGTTTTCAAACAATTTCTCTTTGTTCTAAGCCTTTCTGTAATTGTGCAGGTTTCCGAAGAATTTCAGTGCTGAAGTATTGTGAACCTGTGAGGTACCCTATTGAGAGAAGGATGGGAACTGGTGGGGCAGGGGAAGAGATTGAGAGGTTTGTCCTTGGCTCCTTTGATCCAGTATTTTCATCTTACCTTGGGTAAAATTAGATTGTTGTTAATAATGATCTAAAAGATAGTAAAAAAGTCAGATTGGTCCTGATAAATTAGAAAAGTAGTGCTAAAAGCGTGGGCTGATGTTTAATAAAGGTAGATTCAGGCATTTGTAGGGACCAGAAATCTCCAGTGCAATATCAATCAGGAAGATTGGTCAGGGACATACACAGCAGAAACTTACTGCTGTTGTATATAAAATGGACATGAGTAGGAGTATATTGTTCTTGTGGAAAAGGGCAATGTTGTGCTAAAGTAGATGTGTTAGATATGACATGAAAAGCTAGAAGAATTCATTTTACTTGTTTGCTTGCTTGTTATTAAAACCTTGGGTATCCAGCTTTGGTTATTGTGCCTCAAAAATGAGAAGATCCATTGAACAGATGGAACAAGAAGATGTAAAGCAATCTGTACTTCTCAACCTCTACTTCCCACTTTGAACACTTTTATTTATTTATATTTATTCACTTACTTGAGAAAAGTCTGTGAGCATCTTTATTGCTTTGTGGGGTGGAGGGTGGTGCTCAGGAGCCTTTCGTGGATTGGTGGGGAAGGTCCCCTTCCTCTTCACTGTCACAGTTTTCTGGCTGTGTGGGCTGGTGCTGGCTCTGTGGATGGCAGCATGCACAGATGTGGGTGGTGGTACTTCTTGTGGAGCATGTGCTGGATGCTGTTGAGAGCGGCCCTGGAATTCTTGGTGGTGGCAATTTGCATATAGGAGGTGGTTTTCTTTCTTTGGGCAGTTTATCACCTTCATGACCACCACGACACCTTTGCTGTTGGCTCCACACCCACAGTCAGTTTTAACAGGAGTTTTGGTGAATCAGCCAGTTGTAGCCAAAGGAATTGCCGGCCTTCAGGCTACTGAGTTCAGTGCTGTGTATCTGTGTATTCTTCTTGATGAGGAAACTGGAGCAGTTCCCCACAGCCCAACCACTTCAGATGCCCACACATGGCTCCTCTACCAGTGATGGTCAGAGAGGAGAAGAGCCACTTTTACCTTTTCATTGTAAGTTTGTATTTCATGTCAGGCTTGCTTGCCACACTATAAGCTCTGTGAGGATAAGGTCTGTAGTGCTCACCATTGTTTTTTCAGAGCTGAATAGCCTGACACACAGTAGGCTTTCAATACTAATTTCATTTACCAGAAGTGGATAATGAGTTTTATGAAGAAAATCTGAGAGAACTGGATTCGTTTTTTCTTTCTTTCTTTTTTTTTTTTTTTTTGAGACGGAGTTTCGCTCTTTTTACCCAGGCTGGAGTGCAATGGCGCGATCTCGGCTCACCGCAACCTCCGCCTCCTGGGTTCAGGTAATTCTCCTGCCTCAGCCTCCTGAGTAGCTGGGATTACAGGCACATGCCACCATGCCCAGCTAATTTTTTGTATTTTTAGTAGAGACAGGGTTTCACCATGTTGACCAGGATGGTCTCGATCTCTTGACCTCGTGATCCACCCGCCTCGGCCTCCCAAAGTGCTGGGATTACAGACTTGAGCCACCGCGCCCGGCCAGGATTCGTTTTTTCAACACAAGAGGTGACCAAGGGGTAATGTGTTCCTTCAGGTTCATGAAAAGACTGCATGAATATGCCAAGTAGTTGTTTTGTAACTGGAACATTAAGAAGAGATGGATGGAAATTAAAGCCAGAAAGACCTTATTGATTTAGGCCAGTGGGAGAAGTTTTGGAGTATGTGCTTTGGAGAAAATACTCTTTTCTGGCTTGTTTTGTTAATTATGTGTCTGAAAAGTAGGGCTAGATTGGATAGTCTTTACCAGGTTTCTCCCCCCTCTGATTCAGGGACTTTAGGAGATTTCTGGTAACCTGAGGTATTAGGATGCTGGAGTTCTCCATAGGGTGCTTAGCAGACCACCTTTATCTCCCCATACTTTGAGTTTTTCCATATGTGGGCTGAGAATAAGCTGGTTGCTTTTCAGTGATCTGAAATTATAGATGCATTTCTTGGAACCTTTTTTTCTTAATGGCCAAAATTGAGTAGTATCGCTATTGCTGTCTGTGGAATACCACTTGCTATTTCTGTTTAGAATTTACTGAGCTTGGTAAGTTGGAAGGGTAACAGGAGCATGTTTGTGATTAAAAAAAAAAATCAGTCATGGTAATTGACAGCAGAGAAGTTCCAGGCGGAACAGTGGATCTTTTCGCTTTTCTTCTACACATGGCTTTTTGCCATCAGCATCAGTGAAGAGTAAGTAATTTTAATGAACATTTTATTTGGGGCAGATTGATATCCTGGTTTTCTCTCCCAGCCTGGCTTTCTGTCTCATCCTGGCTTTCTCTTATATCTTATGATATGCTGGTCTCTCCCAGCTTTCATAGTCCACATGTAGTCCTGAAACTTGGAACCAATCCTGAGCTTTGTTCACTTTGGGTTGGTAACAGCTCATACCATACTTGCCAAGCTGGTATGTAGACAGGGTTGCTCCAGTCTTTGTTTGGATGCAAACAGAATCTTGAGAAGATTTGAACTGCTTCCAGTGCTTAATGCTTTGTATGTGTGTGAGAGAGAAAAGCAATTCCTTGGGCATGCTCTGTGGAAAGTAAAACAGTAGCCTGATACTCAGAGAGAAATTAAATTTGGGGCTTTAATAATCTTGTTTATCTTTTCCTGAAGAGTCAGAAGAAACCTGAGGGGCCAAGTAATCAAATAGTACAGAATAAACAGCCATGGCATCTTGGACACATGCTCACCCATCCTCTGTTTGAACACAACAGTGATTGGTAGACAGTTTGGTCTGTGGTGAACTTTTTTTTTCCTCCTCAGCTTGCAGAAGGCGCTAATGCTGCTTATTTGCAGTTGTTGAACCTGTTTGCCTATGGGACATACCCAGATTACATAGGTGAGTTGGTGAAGATCCTTCAAAAGACTTGTCTTAATTATGTTGCTCAGTTTGGAAGACCATCAAGGTTTGAGATATAAAGCATGGGGTAGTGGGGAGACTTCTTGAACTGGCTGCCTCCCATTTTGCTGTGCCTGGTAGGTGACCTCACAAAGAGAATTTTCCTTTTCACCTTTTATATTTTAGTGGGTAAAATGGAGACTATGTGGCTGGGTGCGGTGGCTTTAATCCCAGCACTTTGGGAGGCCAAGGTGGGCGGATCACCTGAGGTCAGGAGTTCGAGATCTGACCAACATGGAGAAACCCCGTCTCTACTAAAAATACAAAAAATTAGCTGGGTGTGGTGCTACATGCCTGTAATCCCAGCTACTGGGGAGGCTGAGGCAGGAGAATCGCTTGAACCTGGGAGGCGGACGTTGTGGTGAGCCAAGATCGTGCCATTGCACTTCAGTCTGGACAACAAGAGTGAAACGCCATCTCAAAAAAAAAAAAAAAAAAAAAGAAATGGGGACTGTGTGTGCTCATCACAAATGGAGCTCTTGTTTGTTTTCCAGATGAGATTCTTGAGGACTGGTGTTTGTAGGGCCCTTGGAGTGCTATGAAGTGTCAGAATACACACCTGTAGAATATTTTAACATTTTAAATATTAACAAGATAATATCAGCATATTGAAGAAAATTTGGAAAATAGATTTTTAAAAAGTCACCATAGGCTGGATATGGTGGCTCATGCTGTAATCCTAGCACTTTGGGAGGCTGAGGCCAGCAGATCACTTGAGGTCAGGAGTTCGACACCAGCCTGGCCAACATGGTGGAACGCCGTCTTTACTAAAAATACAGAAATTAGCTGGGCTTGGTTGTGGGCACTTGTAATCCCAGCTACTCGGGCAGCTGAGGCAGCAGAATTGCTTGAACCTGGGAGATGGAGATTGTAGTAAGCTGAGATCGCACCACTGTACTCCAGCCTGGGCGACGGAGTGAGACTTAGTCTTAAAAAAAAAATTAAATAATAAATAAAAGTCACTTATAGTTGTGTCTCCATCAAACATTTGGATGCTGGACTTTTTTGTGCCCCTTACATTTGTGTTTTGTATTACATAGATATAACTATGTATACAGTTTTATGTCTTGCTTGTCTCCTACTTATATACATCCATATTTTACATCTTTGTAATAATTTTTAATATTTCATAATCGAATGCTTTATAATCTAGCCCATTTTCTATTGTAGGGCATTTGAGTCATTTTAAATTAGAATCTTAAATATTAGGAATGAGGTGCTTGTATATCCAACCACTAACTTACTTTCTACCCAAACCATTTTTTCCTGGCTTTCCTACCCTTTTTTAATGGTTTGACAGTATCCTGATACTCAGGGCCTTCTCTGCGATATTCCTGACTTCTCCTCCTTTCTCCCTGGTTACTTCTACTTTGTGCTGCTGTCAGACCAGACAGTTGGCCACTTCCTGGTACACCACATTTTTTTCTGATCTTCCCTTTGTTCCAGTGAGTGTGTTCTATTCTTCTATCTTTGCTTACTAAAGAGCACTTTGGGAAGCGGAGGTGGGCGAATCACGAGGTCAGGAGATTGAGACCATCCTGGCCAACACGGTGAAACCCCGTCTCTACTAAAAATACAAATCAAAAATTAGCTGGGCATGGTGGCGCACACCCAGAGTCGCAGCTGCTCAGGAGGCTGAGGCAGGAGAATTGCTTGAACCCAGCAGGTGGAGATTACAGTGAGCTGAGATCGTGCCACTGCATTCAGCCTGGGTGACAGTGCGAGACTCTGTCTCAAAATAAAAAAAAAGAGGCAGCATTGCGCAGACTCTGTTACCAGACTACCGGTTGTTAGTCTGGCTCCACTTCTACTAGTTTTGTGTTCTTTGACTAAGTAATCTTAATTTCCTCATCTGTAAGGTGGGAGTAACAGTACAAGTCCATTAATCCTTACCTACACTCCTTGTAGGTAGATGTTTCAGAATTTAGAATTTTCGGGACTTTAAAAAGGTAATGTGATGCACATGCCTCTTTATGTAACATTTTCAGAAGAATGTGGGCAGTTAAACACATTCATAATTTTGCAGCAAAACAGGTGAATATTCACGACAAGTGGGACAAAAAGCCTGTTTTGGTTCAGGTCAGAAATTCCCACCAGATGAATTTCAGCACCATGCTTAAGAAAAAAAAAAAATTAGTTTGGATTCAGCTTTTTGGAATCCAGAATTGTGGTTAAGGAATTGATGACACTTGGAGTCTTGTGGGGTTGTTGTGAAGATGAACTGGATGTGTGGATCTGTGTGATCCACAAGATATAAAGCTTGCTATTTATGTAAGCTGCTGCAGCTGCTGCCCTTGCTGTTATTATCATTTATGGTTATTACTGAAATTTTACCTCTTCCTCAAAGCTCAACTCAAACTCCATCTCTTCCATGAAGTCTTTCTTTTTATCTCCTGTACCTCCCAAATGATACTGTTCTCTTTCCCTCTCTCTCTTCCTCTCACCCGCTACCTCCTCCCCATCCCTCTCCTCTCTTCTGGTAGCTTATACCTTTTTTCTGGTAGTTCTGCCTTGCATACGTAGCTATTGAAACATTTGATTTTAAGACCGAGGACAAGTCCAGGGCCATTAAGTTGCACACCTCCAGGTGGTTGATGGCCTGGAGTTGTGCCATGCAGCAGCCCTGGCAAAGCCCATCTTATTCATCCTTGCACATAACAGATGCTCAGTGAATATGTGTTTAACTTAATTGAATGTCACAAGGGGCACAAATAGTACACCATTAAGATAATTGCCACATCATTTTGTTTGTTCAGTTTTTAGGAGATTAAACTTGGTGTGTAGAGACTGAGTCTTTTCTTTGGAAGTACATGGTCTTCCAAAGAAGATGGCAGTATTTGCCAAATGAATAAGTGCAAAGTCATGATAGTGATTCAGTAGTAGATTTGGTCTGGGGAGTTGGTGAGCTTATTCCATAAAAGAAATCCTAATTTTATTTTATGTCTTGATTTTTGTGGTGGGTGGGACCGAGCAGCCAACAAGGAGAGCCTGCCAGAACTGAGCACAGCTCAGCAGAACAAGCTGAAGCATCTTACCATCGTGAGCTTGGCATCAAGAATGAAGGTACGGTCCTGAGCCCTCGCCTGTCTTCCTCTTCACCCGAAGTCAGCTGTCTCACTGGCATCAATGAGAGAAGTCCCAGCTGCACACAAGAGTTTCACATCATTAATACGTAAAATTTGTTTTGCAGAGGAAAAGATAAAATGGTGTAGACAAGTACTCCCCATTCCATACAGGAAGCGTATGTGGCATGCTGTGGTACCTCATGTGGGATGAGCATTTTCCCGTATTAGGGGGAGACTGCTGTTAAAGATAGACATTTTTCAAACAGCAAGGCATCTCAAGACAAGTTAATAACTTTATCTGTTTTTCAGTGTACAGTGAACTGTGCCCGTGCTAGAGGAAAAACTTGCTATGTTGACTTACTAGATTTTTTTTTTTGAGGCGGAGTTTTGTTCTTGTTGCCCAGGCTGGAGTGCAATGGCGTGATATCCGCTTACCGCAGCCCCCGCCTCCCGGGTTCAAGTGATTCTCCTATCTCATCTCAGCCTCCTGAGTAGCTGGGATTACAGGCATACACCACCATGCCTGGCTGATTTTTCGTATTTTTAGTAGAGACAGGAGTTCTTCATGTTGGCCAGGCTAGTCTTGAACTCCTGACCTCAGGTGATCCACCCACCTCAGCCTCCCAAAGTGCTGGGATTACAAGCGTGAGCCACCATGCCCAGCCTAGATTTTTAATATACTACCTTTCTCTGGGATTTCCAAGGTTTATTACACTAATTGGAATTTGTGTCTCCTATGCTAACTTTAGACTCTAACCTTATGTAAGATACCACCTATTCCACTGTACCTCCAAGTCCTCTCCCACAGCTGATTTAGAAGACGACTTGCAGCCAGCTGCTCACAGCCATTGATGACGGTCCAGATTTAGTTAATGTATAGTTGATTTTGGCTCTCTGCCTAATCCCAGCCTAAATGCCTAAATTTTTGTGGGACTATGCCTTTAAAAAATTTTGGTTTTAGCATTTTCCCTCCATGATTGAGCTTCAGTGATATACTTTTTTTTTTTTTTTTTTTTTGAAAGGATGGAGTTTTGTTCTTGTTGCCTAGGCTGGAGTGCAGTGGCTTGATCTTGGCTCACTGCAACCTCCGCCTCCTGGGTTCAAGCAATTCTCCTGCCTCAGTCTCCTGAAGAGCTGGGATTACAGGCATGTACTACCATGCCTAACTAATTTTTAGTAGAGATGAGGTTTCACCATGTTAGTCAGGCTGGTCTTAAACTCTTGACTTCAGATTATCTGCCTGCCTTGGCCTCCCAAAGTGCCAGGATTACAGGTGTGAGCCATGATGCCTGGCCAAGATATATATATATATATATGTATGTATGTGTGTGTGTGTGTGTGTATATGTATATATAATTATTATCTATTTATTACTTTATTTTTTAACTCAAAACAATTTTTTAAAATTGAGAACGGGGTCTCACCATGTTGCCTAGGCTGGTCTCAAACTCCTGACCTCAAGCAGTCCTCCCATTTTAGCCTCCCATAGTGTTGGGATTACAGGTGTGAACCACTGCACTTGGTCTGTTGTGTTCTTGGATTGCGATTTCAGTTGCTGAAATCATTTTATCTGATATAATGACACTCTGATTCTCAGCCTAGCATTTCAGGTGGGAGGCCTGTTTTGTTGGGAAATGAGGACCTGACCTTTTTTCATGTCCTGATTGTGGACCTCTCAAGTATAGTAAAGAAGTAGCAGTGACCCTTTTCCTCATTTCTGTAACCTGTCATTGTAAGTCCACCTACCACCCATGGATATCATGCCTTTAGCCATAGAAAACCCTTCTAGGTATATTTGCTCTCTTCTCGGTATATATCTTCCTCGTGTCTGTTTCTACAGATTTGATCACTATGTTAATTTCCAAACTAGTAGTGATATGGCAGATAATTTGCAGAAAACTGGAGTCTTGTAGAATGTTGGTACAGCCCAGTAAAGAATTATTGTTGGGAATTCATAGTGGTTCTAAGTGTATGAGAAAACAGATGCAAACTTCAGGATGACCTCTGAGCTGGCAGTGCCCATTGGTCACCTGTCGGTAGATGTGCTGGCCGGCAGGTTTTTTGTTTGTTTTTGCACTTTGTTGTGTGTAGCCAGTTCTCTCCAGTGTCTGGGATCTGTTGGAGATTATGGTGATCTGGCAAAATCTGAAAGCTTCCAGAAGGTGGCAGAGTGGCATATACCGAGTAGTTCCCTTTCTCTCCACTGGTAGAAGTTTTTAGAATCTCCACAGATATGCCGCAGCATGTGAAATCTGAAGGCTGGGTGAAGCCAAGGAGGTAGAGAACCAGGAGGTTGCTTTCTTAGATGTTGATTGGTCTTCTAGGTCTCATCGTTCATTATCCATCTCTTGTTGTCCTAGCCATTAGTAATTACCACTAGCCTGCAGTTCCCTAGCCTAGAGGCAGCTGTTGGCTATGTGGGTAATACCTGCATTTTAGCTAATGCTTGCCAGATTGTTTTTATAATGATCACATGGCCTCATCTACAGTGTATCCCCTACTCCGTGTTGCTGAAAGACCTGGAGATGCGGAATCTCCGGGAACTAGAAGACCTCATCATTGAGGCTGTCTACACTGACATCATCCAGGGCAAGCTGGACCAGCGAAACCAGCTGCTGGAAGTGGATTTCTGCATTGGCCGTGACATCCGAAAGAAGGATATCAATAATATTGTCAAGACCCTGCATGAATGGTGAGGCTAAAAGGAGGGGATATCTAGCATGTCTTTTGTGCCTCTCCTTGCAAAAATGTGATTTCTTGGTGTTAGCTGAGGGTTTGGGGTGGGGCTGTGGCTGTCTGGGAGCTGGGGCTTTAGGACAGTGAGCCAGAGAGTGGGGCTACATTTGTGATCACAGCTGGGTGACAACAGGAGTCATTTCAGGCCCCCTGGTGCCTTGGTTGTAAAATAGTTCTTGCCTTAAATGCAACTGGGGGCTATTTAAAAGTGGGCCATAAAATGCCCAGGGTTAGCAGGTGGAGCCTATGTGAGTGTCCTGACTATGTGAGGCTAGTCCTGCCTTTGCCAAACTCAGACTCAGAGTTTACTGAACCTAGTAAGGTTAGTGCTTGTAAGAGTCTTTCTTTGTTCTTCTTAATTTTTCTATCCCTGTGGAAGTTAACATGTTTGTAAGATTCTTAGGATAAAAGAATTTAGGTTCAAAATCAGTAGCGTATTGGGCTAGTGTTTGTAAAACACTGTGAGGGACATGGAAAACAAGGAGTGGGTCATTCTGAGTTGGAATACAGACTCATCCATAGAATATCTGATAACTATATTCTGGTATATAAAAAGCTTTGGGACATTTGGATGTTCTCTGTTTATATGAAATTTGATATTTGCAAGAGCTGTCACACATTCTATGAGGATTTACTGTGGAGTGATTAAATTATTTGGGGCTTATAAAGCCAGATGGACTTATTGGAGAAGTTTTAGCTCAGTTTTGAAGGAGAGGCAGGGTTATCGTATGCTTGGAGGTGAGGAGAGTATGTTCCCAGGCATGTTGGAAGCCATGAAGCAGAGCTGGTGAGCTTTGTGCACAGGTTAGGGAGAGAAATGGAATCTCTGCTCGTCCCTGAGAGAAGTATATCCAGAGAGGAGCAGCGCCACTTTGACTTCCTGGGGTCTGATGCCCCCAAGTCTCCCTCACTTAAGCTACTCTTACCTCAGGACGTGTGTTGCTCACCCCTCACCCCAAGTTCTGTCCCAGGTGTGGTCCCAAACACCTTCTCTGTACAACATCTGACACAAGTAGAAGTTTTCAATAGGTTATGAAACTTAGAATAAATAAGAAATAAACTTAGAAACACCCCATCTCAAAATGGTCTGGCACACAAAATCTAGTTTCTGAACCTGCCAAAGTTGGCTGTCCTATTCTGTTTTTGAAATGGCTGACACAGTTTTTCATGTCCATAGTTTGCTTTCCAGTTTCTAAGTACCCAATATGTTTGACATAGAGGTGCCAGACTAACTGGTTACCACAGTATGTTTACTGGCAGAGATGCTTACAACTCATGTTTAGGCACTGGTGGTAGATTGAAACAAAATTGGTTTGCTGAGGGGTACCACACATATGGCAAAATGCTCACAGCTGTTGGATCTTAAGTGGAGGTATGGGGATATTCATTGTAGTATTCTTTCAACTTTTTTGTTTTTAAAAAAGTTAATAGTGAGGAAAATAAAATAGGAGGAAGGGTATGGCAATTAGGAAGTAACTTAAACTTCTGAGAAAAGGAAGAATCTTCAAAATAGGATGCTTTTAGAAAATCTTTTTTTTTCTGTTGAGAAAAGGATTACTCAATACCATCTGTAAAAATCTATCCTACCTTCTTTTTTTTTTTTTTTTTTTTTCTGACAGAGTCTCATTCTCACCTAGGCTGGAGTACAATGGTGTGGTCTCGGCTCACTGCAACCTTCACTTCCCAGGTTCAAGGTACTCTCCCACCTTAGCCTTTCAAGTAGCTGGGACTACAGGTGTGTGCCACCACACCCGGCTAATTTTTGTATTTTTAGTAGAAACAGGGTTTCATTGTGTTGGCCAGGCTGGTCTCGAACTCCTCACCTTGTTATCCACCCTCCTTGCCCCCCTAAAGTGCTAGGGTTACAGACGTGAGCCACCACACCCAGCCTATCCTACTTTCTTTAATCTTAGGTGCTACAAAACCATCTTCCACGAAATACAAAGTTGAAAATTAAAGCTATATTCTAAGAAACTAGCCCCAGCCTACCATGTTTGTCTCCTTATGTCCTGTGTTATGTCCTGCAGTAGGTATTACAAAGTGCTTGTCTTTTGGAAGGAGTGAATGGGCAAGAGATGTGGCAGAAGGAGTATTAAAGGAGGTCCCTGTAAGACGCTGGGGAGAGCTGTTGGGGAGGAAGATTTCAGAGGCTGGAAGAGACTTCCCAGGCCATTCTGCAGCTCAGGGCTGGCTTTCTCCATTGCAGGTGTGACGGCTGTGAAGCAGTTCTGCTGGGCATTGAGCAGCAAGTTCTGAGAGCCAACCAGTACAAAGAGAATCACAACCGAACTCAGCAGCAGATAGAAGCAGAGGTAAGGAAGGAAAGGAACGTTGGTTCCTCTCTCCAGGTCATACCTGTTGATTCCTTTGCAGTGTTTATGTTTTTGTTTTGCAAATCTTGGTGTAGATGAAGTAAGCAGTCACCAACAAATGGGCCTAGGCTAGGTGCTGGAGTACAGGGATGAGTGTGACACGGCTCCTGCTCTTGGTGTTCTGTCTCTTTCTGATTCCTGGTCAGCATAGGGTGATTGATGAGGCTTGGAGAACAGAGAAGGTTGTAGTTTTATTACACATGTACTTTGCAGCTGTAGAGCAAAAGAAAATGAGTTTGGGGATGGATCTTAAAAATGGGTAAGATGGCGATAAGTTACCAGGTGGCATGGAAGAAGGGGTACAGCTGGGCAGGGCCATGTGGGGCTTCAAGGCCCTGGGAATGTTCTGCTACTTAAGTTGCATGGTGGGCACATAGTGTTCATTTTATTCTTTTTCTCTAAACTGTACATATAATAAACTTGTAAAATGCATGACATGTTTCATACGGAAAGAAGAAAGGGATAAAATTTGGCAGATGAGCTGCAAGTGAAGTTAAGAGGATGTAAGTTTGGTTTTAGTGACACCTGGTTGTTGAGGAAACTTTTAGCCTCTTGGACAGATGTAGGCCCCAGCCTTTGTGTTATGAGCATTTGTGTACTTGTAGCCTGATATATGACGTGACCTCACTTCAGAATTTATCTGGAGCCCTTAACACCAGAAGCACTGATCTTCCTTAGCATTGGAAGCTCTTTTCTATGGTGGATGGGGTTTGAAGTGTTAATGATACTTAATGAATTTTGAAAATCAGGTGTCTAAGAGTGTGGCAGAGTAGGGCCCAGAAGTCTAGCTAAGAAGCATAAGAAATGAGTAGATGGTGCCTTTCAAAGGGGGATTTGTGAAATTTGGAGTGATTCCCTATACTATTATATGTACTCCTTGAAAATAAAACCTGTATCCTATTTGTAAGATAAGCTTCTTATCCCATGCCTAACCCAGAGTAGATACTCAGATGTTGAACTGAATATTTCTGACACACTGTAGAAGTGTGTTAATGGTCTGCTGAACTCTGCTTTTCATGAACTTGAGCTAATTTTTTTGAATACACACACACTGCCCTATATACATATACTCTGTGGATGTTCAATTCATAGACCATTTTTAATCCTTCTAGCCATAGAAGTATGAGCTGGCTACAATGGCTCACACCTGTAATCCCAACACTTTGAGAGGTAAGGAGGAAGGATTGCATGTGTCCAGGAGTTTAAGACCAGCCTGGGCAAGGAAGTATGCACTGTAGTTAACACTAGCCAAAAGCAAAGACAATTAGGAAAATAAGCCTTCTGCTTTTCTGATAAGCTATGCAACCACCTTCTTCATGATAGTGGCCTCATCTCTAACTTGGGATTGAGGTCTGAACAAAGTAGGAAGGGCTCACCACTCTGTCCTTTCATTTATTCTTCCCTATAAATTAAACTCTGGACAAAATGAGGTTGGGAGGCTAACCGCACCACCTGATTTTTGGCATCGAGGTCATTAACAAAGATGAATGATACTAGTTTTAGAATTTTGAAGTATTCAAGTTTATTTTCATGATAAATAGCATCAACAAAAGAAAGCCAGGTGTGCACAGAGCTATTATAGATACCTGGCTAAAGTCTGAGTTACACTGTGTAGTTACACAACAGTGTAGACTCTTTAAATTTTGGTTATTTAAACAGAGAGAGGGAGAGTGTGTGCACTAGCACACAGGGCTTTATTTGCCAGTGGTTGGAAGACACTAGCAGAGCCCGATGCTGCCAGCAGGTGGCAATAGGGATTTACATTTGAGAAAGAAATCTGAGGAAAAGGCCAAGGCCGCCTCCACCACCAATTAAAACAATCTATTGACGTAATAGTCTTCTAGAAAATCTGGAACAGTCCAATATGGTCTGCTCCCTGAGCATGGCCAAAGCTTAGAGCCTTGTCAGTTTTTCTATTCAGTAAATGCATGCTCTGGCTGCTAAGTGTTGGAGGCTGTTTGCCCCCTGCTTGAGGCACACAGAAGGTACTCACCAAATAGCTACAGGCTTGAAAGAAAAAGAAATCTACAAACAACCAGGGTGATTCTGTCATATTCTTTTTATATTTATGAGTCTTTTACTGTTGGCCTATCTTTTAAAAGCTATTTTGTCAACTGATTGGTGAGCTTTTCTTTATTTGTCCTTAAATTAGATTGCTTGTTTTCGGAGAGAAAAACATGATGTCCCCCTCCTGAATCTTATAACAACAGCTTTCTTCTGGTGAGTTGTAGCTTTAAGAGCCCTCCTTCTTAATGAAGCCAGCCCTATCACAGACTGCTGAAGAATATTCTCTCCATTTAGGCTTTCGTGGAAATAACACATATTAGTTCCTAGTTCCAGCATACCTGGGGGAACATTATGAGCTGTTTCATTATCTCTGAGGAAGCACTGTGGTGAGGAGGTAATACTCAGAGCATTACAAAACACTTGCACATTTAAGTTTGATTTTGGAAAGTATTTCCTTTTTTGTTGTTGTTGTTGAGACAGGGTCTCACTCTGTCACCTAGGCTGGAGTGCATGGAGTGCAGTAGTGCAAACACAGTTCACTGCACCCCCAGCCTCCTGGGCTCAAGCAGTCTTTCCGCCTCAGCCTCCCAAGTTGCTAGGACTACAGGTGCATGCTACCACACCTGGCTAATTTTTTTTTTTCTTTCTTTTTATGGAGAACTGGGTTTTGCTGTGTTGTTGAGGCTGGTCTTGAGCTCCTAACCTGAAGCTATCCTCCCACCTGTGCCTCCCTATTTGTTGGGATTACAGGTGTGAGCCACCATGCCCAAACCACTTTTCTTTCTTGTTTTTTTGAGACAGAGTTTCACTCTGTCGCCTAGGCCGGAGTGCAGTGGCATGATCTCAGCTCACTACTGCAACCTCCGCCTCCCAGGTTCAAGCAATTCTCCTGACTAAGCCTCCTAAGTAACTGGGACTACAGGCATGCACCACCATGCCCAGCTAATTTTTGTATTCTTAGTAGAGACAGTGTTTCACCATGTTGGCCAGGATGGTCTCCATCTCTTGACCTCATGATCTGCCCACCTCAGCCTCCCAAAGTGTTGGGATTACAGACGTAAGCTACCGCATCCAGCCCAATTTTTGTATTTTTAGTAGAGACAGGGTTTCGCCATGTTGGCCAGGTTAGTCTCAGACTCCTGACCTCAAGTGATCCACCTGCGTCAGCCTCCCAAATGTGCTGGGATTACAGGCTTGAGCCACTGCACCCAGCCCCATTTTTCTTTATATTTGGTTGTGCCTATGTCTGATGTTATGTAGAATGGTAATTTATAACTATTGCCACATTTACAAAGTAGGCTATGTTCTAGTAATGTAGGTCCTAAAGTGTAACTGGACAAAGTAAGCTCTGTTTTCCATTATGTAAAAAATCCCCTAGGAGTTAGTGACAATCTTGAGGTTTATTGGCACAGTTTTTCCAACTGCATTGCATTTCCTCTTGTCTGCCTTTGCTTTGCCCCTCAACTGAAGGAAGGTTTTCTGCCCCAGGAATTCTTCTCTCTCCTTTTGCCTAAATATTTAAGGTCTCTGATAGAGCTAGGCTACATTTTTGCTAGCAGTGCAGTCCTACTTTTCTGAGGCTCATATTTTAAGGAGCCTGTAAGCCAGGCCTCTGGAGGAAGAAACTCATAAGGGACTCTACCAAATTTAGGTAAAAGAAGACAAGTCTGTGGGGATGACTTTTGTTGTCAATTGAAGGGTGGCTCTGTGAAAGAGGAATTGGAACTCTTAAAGTCTACAAGGCCAAAATGAGTTTAATTGGTTGACCTGCCTGGGTGGCCAATTTGAAGTCCTAGAAGGAGCTGTCTGCCCTTACCACCTGCCCAGCTACTGGAAGAAGCTAGTTGACTTTGAAGATCCCCTTCTACTGGGAGAGTCTGTCAGTGCTTCAGAAGTCTCGTTTGTGACTTGTGTGTTACAAATGCAGCGGTAAAGCTGACTTGAGCAAAGTGACTCTGTAATGGATCCCAGTGTGAGGACCATGGCACTACCCCAGCCCAGGCGAGGCCTCTGTAGAGGACAAAGGGTTCATTTCCTAGGCTTAGACACACTTGCTCAAGAAGCCCTCTTCTCCTCTGCAGGGTGTTTACATTTTGCCTCAAAGTGGTAATGACTGTAGAGGACTTAGATTTGTCGGCAGTCTTATTGGTGGAACGAGACGTGTGCTTCTGACACATGAAGGAGACACAATGGTGTGGGAGGCCATCGAACAGGGAGAGGCACTGCCAGGCAAGTACAGGTTGAAGGGTGGCAGATCAGCTTGGGCTGCAGCGGTCAGGGCAGGTTGTATGGACCAGGTGCTCAACTCTCCAGGCAGGATCAGATGGGCGAGCTGGGGAGGAGTGGTGCCCTCCCAGGGTGCATGAAAAACAGAAGGGCAGAGTGGGGATGACTGCTTCCAAGTGTGGTGTGGCGGAAGAGTGTGGCTGAGCATGGCTTGAGTGCAGGGCAGGCTTGAGGAGTGGAAGGAAGGCACCTGATTATGGTGTTTCAGAACTCGAGAAAAAAACAAGTTTTTCCCGGGCTAAGTCTTACTTCTTTTTATTGCATATCATAGTCATGGAGCACCTAAAACAGCTGATTGAGAGAGCAGTTTCTACAGGAGAAAATTGCTTGAGGAAGTAAATAGGCATTTGAATGACAGGGGAAGTTGTCCATGCCTCTTTCTACTTATTTGCTCAAAAACTTTTGACAGGATCTTGAATCTGAAAGGCTTTTAAACAGAATTGAGTGACCAGGAGAGAGGAAGGCTGCGTTATGGTGGGGGGTGGCAGTAAAGAAATGAAGCAGAGGGTAAGTAAGCCCTTCTGTGACTGCAGAAGGGTGATGTGCAGGCTCCCTCAAGACCAGAGTGAGAACTGTGAGTTCGTGGCTTTGTGAAGGAGGAGCATTGGAAGTGTTGAGCTTTGAAAAGTAAGAGAGTAAAACAGCAAAGCCTTTGGGGTCAGTTGAACTGTTCGATTGCTGAGAGGCTGGCAGCAGAGCATTGCCTTGGTGAATATGCCACAGGCAGAGTTTGCTTCTTGGCTGGCAGGTCAGGGACTCATCACTCAGCCCAGCCATTGATACTCTGAGTCCAAAGCTAGCCCAAGTCACCTTGGGCCACTCTAAAGAGAGAAATGCTGGTTGTCACTTTTTGATAAGCTGATAATGACTTTATGCTACAGAAACACAGATACAGCAGATTGAAAATACAACCATTATTTGGGGATTGGGTAATCCCTTTTCCTTACTCATGTAGGGGTTATGAGATTGTCAGTAAATCTAAGATGTGTTAAATGAAGTAATATAGAAAACTATTTGTAGCATGATCTGATTGTTTAGTAAAAATTGTTACACAACTTGAAGAAATAAGGCTGAATAGTGTTTATCAGCCAAGATGAAATTAGTAAATTTTTTTGGTTTTGTTTTTTAATTTTTAATAAAGCTATTTTGCCAAATGGGGAAGGTAATTATTTGCTTGGAAAGATACAAGTTTTGGAAATACAATCCTTGAAACAAAAGCTCGTTAGTTTTCTAATGTCTTACTTGATTAAAATTTTGTCAGCTTTGGGGAAAATTTTAAATATATTCCCTCAGGTAATGTTAAATTGCAGGATCTTCTTTGGAAGTCAGAGGTGACTGACATGCAAAGAAATAAACTAAAGTCATGCTGTTCCCTTTTATGATTTTAATTCATTTTCTTCTGGATATTTAGAAAATATATCAAATTGGAGAAGGCTTAGAATGTTATTTGATAAAGCAGTGTTCCCTGAGAAATCAAATTTCCTAATTTTTCCTCCAGTGTAATCAAAATATGCCTTAGCTGAGCATAATAGTGTGTGTCTGCAGTCCCAGCTACTTAGGAGGCTGAGGCAGGCAAATTGGTTGAGCTCAGAAGTTTGAGGCCAGCCTAGGCAACATAGCAAGATCCCATTTCTATTAAAAAAAAAAAAAAAAAAAAAAAAAAAAAAAAAAAAAAGGCTTAAAGTAAAACAAATAATATCTCTTTTATCAGAGAAAGAGTGGCAAGCCATTGACTTGCTCCAGATCATTCACTTCCCTCACCAGGTGGCTCACTGAATGAGATACACCAAAGCAGCAGTGAGCTGCCAGGAGGGTGAGATGCCTCAGGGTTCCCAGATGGTGTTTTGTGGTCTGGCAGGACACTGGATAAACCCAGAGCTGATGCCCCTCCCTATTTCACACGCACGCACGCACGCACGTACGCTGTGGGTCTTGCTGTGTCATGCAGGCTGGAGTTCAGTGGCATGATGATAGCTCACTGCAGCCTCAAACTCCTGGGCTTAAGTGATCGTCCTGTCTCAACCTCCTGAATAGCTAGGACTACAGGCGTATGCCACCTAACTGGGCTAATTGTTTTTCTCTTTTCTTTTTCTTTTCTTTTTTTTGTTGTTGTTGATATAAGGCCTTACTCTGTCACCTTGGCTGGAATGCAGTGGTGCAGACATGGCTCACTGCAGCCTCTACTTCCTGGGCTTAAGCAATTCTCCTGCCTCAGCTCCTTGAGTAGCTGGGACTACAGGTACACACCAACATACCTGGCTAATTTTTTTTTTTTTTTTAGAAAGACAGGGTTCTATCATGTTGCTCAGGCTGGTCTTGAAACCTGCTCTTAAGCAATCCTCCTTGCTCAGCCTCCTAGAATGCTAGGATTATGAGCCACCATGCCCAGACTGCCCTCTGTAATTTCTGTTTAGCCCACAGTCCTCTTGTCATTCTCTCTTCAGAAAGGCTACCGTGCTGATTGAGGTTACAGAAGTTTGGGGCATGGCTCTTTCCTCCATCTCAAAATAATAACAACAGAAAACAAGTTATGTTTTTTTGTTGTTGTTGTTATTGTTTTTTGTTTTTTTCTTTTTAAGATGGAGTCTTGCTCTTCTGCCCAGGCTGGAGTGCAGTGGCACGGTCTCAGCTCACTGCGACCTCCATCTCCCAGGTTCAAGCGATTCTCCTACCTCAGCCTCTGAAGTAGCTGGGATTACAGGCGCGCACCACCACGCTTGGTATTTTTAGTAGAGACAGGGTTTCACCATGTTGGCCAGATTGATCTTGAACTCCTGACCTTATGATCCGTCCACCTCGGCCTCCCAAAGTGCTGGGATTACAGGCATGAGCCACTGCGCCCAGCCAACAACTTCTGATCTAGTTAAAATTGATTCTGCAGATGTTGGCGCTCTTCTAGGAGCCCAGCTTTTGTCTCACTCTCATAGCATTCTTTCATGTTTGCATTTGGACTGTCTCTTGCTCTCAAGCTCATGGTATTCTGACTGTTCAGAACTTTGGACCCTGACAACTCCCTTTCCACTGTGTAGAAAACCGACTGGATGCCGTGGCTCATGCCTGTAATCCCAGCACTTTGTGGGGCTGAGGTGGGAGGGTCACTTGAGTCCAAGGAGTTCGAGAACAGCCTGGGTAACATGATGAAACATTGTCTTTCCAAATAATTTTAAAAAAATTAGCCGGGCGTGGTGGTGAACACCTGTGGTCCAAGCTACACAAGAGGCTGAGGTGGGAGGATCACTTAAGCCTGGGCAGTTGAGGCTGCAGTGAGCTATGATTGAGTCATTATACTCCAGCCTGAGCAACAGAGTAAAACTATGTCTCAAAAAACAAAATTGAAAAAGCTGTTACTTATCTTCTTCCCTACCACTACCATCCTCTTCCTGCTGTTTCTTCCTCTCAACAAGCTGAGGAACAAAGGTTTGGAACAGTCCCTTTTCAGCAGGCCATATAGCAGTACTGATTCCAGTGGAAAATGTAAATCCACTTTGCTCTGTAAAGCTTACTTCTAGGAGTATCTTCCATAGATGTTCACAGAGGTATGCAAAGGTAAACATAGAGGGCTGTTCAGCATAGCACTGAAACTCAAACTAGGAGCCAATTCAAAAAACTGGAGAACCTTCGTAATAGAGTAGTATTCACAAATCACAGAGGATATCTGTTCTGACATGGAAAAATGTTCAAGAACTGCTGAAATATTTTCGAGTATACTTTAAGTGAAAGAAAGGTATGCTGCACATAGTAGTGAAATAGCATTTTGCCAGTACTTTTCCTACATTTTTTTCATTTCTCACTTAGTTGGCTGAAGTTCATCATCTGTTTATTCAAGAAGGGTTCATGGAGCTGTATTCCCAAAATTCTTATGAAAACATTTGTGGTTTTATAAATGAATAGCAGCAGAGTGTAGAATTCTTGGGCCCCTCTTTTTTTTTCTGAGGACATTTTAATCACTACTTTGTTTCACTGTTAGTGTTGTGCCTCTTTGCCAAATGGTCCCTTCCACTTGTTTCCACCAGGAGAGCATTAGTCCCACGTTTTTGCTTGACTCGTTTCCACTTATCTGTGAATAGCCCAGGCTTGTTTCTCTTCATCTGGATTTCTGAAGCTCATTTCAGGTTTTCTTGCAGAGGATTTTAGCTTTCTGTCTGAAGTGAAGACATTATAATGAGAGCAAGATTTAGTGAGCATATACAGGCTGAGCACACGATTCTCTCTCTCCCCACCAGGTAACCAACATCAAGAAGACACTCAAAGCCACCGCATCCTCTTCTGCTCAGGAGATGGAGCAGCAGCTGGCTGAACGGGAGTGTCCCCCTCACGCTGAGCAGAGGCAGCCCACCAAGAAGATGTCCAAAGTGAAAGGTCTGGTCTCCAGCCGCCACTAGGGCCGGCTGGGGCAGCTGGCACTCACCAGGCCTGGGTCAGGTGGGGAGGGGACACCAAGGGCCCATTTCCTGCCCTCTCTACCTGCAGTGAGTTCCAGACCTGCCCGTCCCCTCACCAGCGCCTCCCCACCCTCTTGGTACTGTTCCAGAAAAACTGTTAATCCCCCTCACCCACTCCCTCCTCCCCCAGTTGTTCCTTCAGACTCAGGGGCTCCGCCAATGCCATCCCAACAGGGTCAGACACTGCCCAGCTTCCCTCCAGGAGGTTCTTGTCTCTGTGTAAGGGCTTGTCTCCCTCCCAGTTTTTCTTTTGCTCCATGTCGTTTTGTCAGGCTGGTTACAAGCTGGAGGCAGCTTTAACCAGCCCCTAGGGATGACTGTGAAGGAGGCACCTCCCCTTGTGAGGAGGGGGCGTTCCTCTCCAGCCCCTCATACCGCAGTCCCCATGATGGTGCAGCGATCTCTAGCCAGGCGTTAAGATGCTCTGTTTTCCCTTTTCTGCCTCATTTCTTGTTGGCAGCTCCAGTTCAGGCCATGGAGGGACGTGATGCTGGGCTATGTTTACTAAACCCACGGGTTTTCAGCCTCTTAAGCCCAGCTTCGATCTCTGATTAATTGAGAGTGCTGGGTTGACTAACCTCTGGTATCTGAGCACAGACAGAGGGTGCTGTGGGTCTGCTGGGTGGCAGAAGTGGTTCCTTCCGGCTTGGTGTTCTCTTCTGGCCACTCTTCCTGCTGCCTGTGACTACTTAGCCTTGTATTTGGTGTGTAGACCCCAGCTGCCCATTGGGGCTGCCGGCTAATGCTTGCTCTCTCCTGAGATCTTTAACTCCTCCTGGCTCCACCTGGGTAGGGATGGTGGCACCGATGCCCCTCTGTCTGCTGAAGGACCTGTTGCTGCTTCCGTCTATCTTTCCAACCCTCCTTGGTGATGACCCAGAGCCCTCTGATGATGGCATTCTCCTGGCAAGAGAAAAGGACTTAACTAGACTTCTGAACTTGAACAGTTTCAGGTTATATTTTAATTTTTTTTTTTTGTACAGGTTCTGATTCTAATACATTTCAACATGCTTTTGTTCCCCCTCGTGTCAATATTTGTTATAGACTAATCGCCGGGGATTTTTCACCTGATCGGAGGGCTGTGTGTGTGTGTGTTGTTTAAAGGGAAGTGGGGTGTGTGTGTGTGTGTGTGTGTGTGTGTTGTCTAAGGGGAAGTGGAGGTCCTGGACTGATATTAAAGTTCATTGAGGAAAAAGCACATTTTACAAAAAAATAAAAGTGTGATTTAATGTATGTGACTGTGGGGTGTGGGGTTGCATACCTGCTAGATCTTGAGGGGCTGGGATTAGGGTGGTTCAGGAAAATGTGATGATGTTTCACCATGTTCAGCCATGGTCAAAAAATGGATTTCTCCTTTTTCTAAAATGTCCAGCAGCTGCCTACTGTTGATTGAATGTTGAAGTATTCTCATTTCCCCTTTAAGCCAGTCCATGTGCTCACATAACATTATGCCCAAGTGGAGAGTTCACTTTAATTTCCAAAGTATGTTTCATGAAACCCCCTGTCAGATGCTCTGTGGAAAAGGGTTCTGTTATTAAATAAATGTGGCACTCCCTGCATCCCATATCCTCACTGGAAATTGATTATTCAGGTCTCCAAGCAGTCCATGGTGAGGAAGCCTATACCCACACCAATTTCATCACCAGATCCTTTTGGGTAATACCTAGGTGGAACAAATCTTATGGAAATTTTGGGGAAAGTATATTTCTCAAAAAGCCTAAGAGTGCTGGGCACAGTGGCTCATGCCACTTAGATCTTAGAACGCCTGACTTGCACATCCTGTCATCTGCTCTGCTGCATTCTCATTTGGAGTCTGCTCTCCACACTTGACCCTTGGCACCTCTCTACCTGCTGCTGTTCCTCTGAGAGTTCATCTTGCCCTTATTTTGACGGAGGCAGGAGCAAGCCCAGTGTTAGTGTTGATTTTGCCTTCCAGGACCCTGGCAGGGAAGCAGCAGTGTTTCCGTTGTAGAGGTCAGAAAAGCTGCCCAGTGACACAGCCAGGGTCAGCTATTGGGCTGTGACAAGCCAGAGCCTGGGCTCCTAGCCTTGAAGGTACTGAGGAGGGGTGGCAGAGGGCTGTTTGGCGAGGGCTCAGGGCTTGGTGACCAGGGATGTGATCATCTGCAGGACCAGCACCATCACTGCTCTGAGGAAGTTCTTCCCCTGAAGGTCTGCCTCCAATAGCTCAGGCACCTGTGTTTTGGATGGTGGTGACACCTGAGTACTTGACTTCATCAGCTGCCCCTAGGAAGTGAGGTAGCAGTAGGTGAGGGGGACACCCTCCTCAGCTTCAGCAGGTGAAAACTATGGTTCTTGATGAAGTTGAGCTGGTGTGTGTGCCACATCTCCTCCTACAGTGGGTACTTGTCATACAATATCCCATCAAAGCGACCACCTGGCAGGGTGGGCACCATCTCCTCCCACAGGACTTTCTAGGGGATGACCTTGTGTGGCTGCTGGGCCCCGTCCTGGAGCCACTGGAAGATGCTGTCATTGCACTTCATGATCCAGTGTTTCTGGATGGGGACCTCCTGCACCTTTGATGCTGTTGTGGCCATGCCGAAGCCCACCTCCAGGACTCGGCCTCCTTTGGAGGTGGTGACAGCAGTGAGGGGGGTTGTGGTAGGGGCACTCATGATGCAGATGGAGCCCCAACTTGGAACCCAATGTGCCAGGACCCAGTCCCTGCAGCCATTGCGCTTTTAACACACCTCATTTCTGCTTGCCAAACCCACCCAGCCACTTAATAAGGAAGCAGAGAATATGGCATCGGGGCCTCCAGAAATTGTGGGAATAGTGGCCCAGCTAGATATTCATTGCTCTGCTGGGACTCTGGTAGGAGGCTTGGCCGTCAAGCTCTGCAGTTTCCTGTCTGGCATCCTGGTAACTGGGCACAGGTCTAAAAATGTGCAGAAGTGTTTTATACACAAATAAAACATTCCAAAGAGATGTCCTCATCAACAGTGAGACATCATAGGGAAGGAGACACCACAGGATTAAAGAGAATTAGCTCAATGGCAGTGCCTGTGGGCTGGCTTGAGCACCTTCTTTACCTCTGAGCTTTTCTGCCTTCTGAAGCCCCTTTTGCTTTTTCTGTTCAGATGAGAGGTGTTATGGTTCCTATTTGGGTAACATTAGGGAGGTGGTCACAAGCCCCTGGTACAGCCGTTCCTGGGGTACTAATCCGAGATGGTCATCATTGATAGTAGGATTCTCTCCTCCCCAAACTTTTCAGTCACAGGAAATGGGGTAGTGGTCAAACAAGCTTAAATGATAAACTGCTTGTGATATGTGTACATGTTTGTTGTTTTCTCCACCCATGAGATACTGGGTTGCCTGAAACCAGAGTGTTCCAGTTTTTGTACTAAAGTTGTTTTTCTGGCAGCTTGAGACTTCGAACACTTTTTAAAAAATGCAGCAAGTTGGTTTTTTGTTGGTCCCAAAGGACCCATCACACTGCCATGGTATCTGAGTTTCAAGTCTAGCACGCGTTGGGTAGTCTGTCTGGTAGAGATAGGGTTTCACCCTGTTGCCCAGGCTGGTCTCGAACTCCAGAGCTCAAGTGATCTGTCCACCTTGGCCTCCCAAAGTGCTGGAATTATAGGCATGAGCCACTGCGCCAGGCCAGGCCTCTACTCTCTGCACATGTATCTCCGGTGTCTCTTCCTTTTATAAGGACATTGGTCCTGTTGGGTTAGGGCCCCCACACTTATGACCTCATTTAACCTTATTGCCTCTTTAGAGGCCCTATCACTAATACAATCACATTGGGGGTATGAATTTTGGAAGAGACAGTTCAGTTCATAGCAGACATTTGCCTGAGCCAGAACTTGGCAAATATATATGATTTGATTCACCCGTATATGATTCACCACATCCTGACCATTCTACAGGCATACCTTGGAGATCCTGTGGATTTGGTTCCAGAGCACCACAATAAAGCAAATATTGCTATAAGGTAAGTCCTGCGAAGTTTTGGTTTCCCAGTGTATATAAAAGCCATGTTTATACTGTAGCCTATTAAATAGCCAATAGCATTATATCTCAAAAAAAGTACATACCTTAACTAAAAATCCTTTACTGCTAAAAAATGCTAATGATTGAGCCTTTAGCACGTCATAATCTTTTTGCTGGTGGAGGGTCTTGCCTCGATGTCGATGGCTGCTGACCAGTCAGGTGGATGAAGGCAGGAATGACTGTGGCAGTTTCTCAAGATAGCAGTGAAGTTCACCGCATTAATTGACTCTTCCTTTCACAAAAGATTTCTCTAGCATGGGATGCTCTTTGATGCATTTTATCCAGAGTAGACCTTCTTTCAAAATTGGAGTTTTCCCAAACTCTGCTGTTGTTTATCAACTAAGTTTATCTAATATTCTAAATCCGTTGCTGTCATTTCAACAGTGTTCACAGCATCTTCATCAGGAGTAGATTCCATCTTAAGAAACCACTTTTTTTTCTTTTCTTTCTTTCTTTCTTTTTTTTTTTTTTTTTGAGATTGAGTTTTGCTCTTGTCACCCAGGCTGGAGTGCAGTGGTGCCATCTTGGCTCACTGCAACCTCTGCCTCCTGGTTCCAGCAATTCTCCTGCCTCAGCCTCGTGAGTAGCCCAGATTACAGGAACCCACCACCACACTCGGCTAATTTTTGTATTTTTAGTAGAGACAGGGTTTCACCCTATTAGCCAGGCTTGTCTCGAACTCCTGACCTCAAGTGATTCGCCCATCTCAGTCTCCCAGAGTGCTGGGATTACAGATGTGAGCCACTGTGCCTGGCCAGAAACGACTCTTGTCCATAAGAAGCACTGCTCATCCACTAAAGTTTTATCATGAGATTACAGTAATTCAGTCACATCTTCAGGCTCCACTTCTAGTTCTCTTGCTGTTTCCACCATATCTGCATTTACTTCTTCCACTAAAGTCAAACCGTTTGAAGTCATCCACGAGAGTTGGAATCAGCGTCCTCAAACTCCTATTAATGTTGATATTTTTATCTGCTCCCATGAATCAATGTTTTTAATGGCGTTTAGAATGGTAAATCCATTCTGAAGGGTTTCAGTTTACTTTGCCCAGATTAATCAGAGGAATCACTATCTATGGCAGCTATAGCCTTTAAAATGTATTTCTTAATAATAAGACTTGTAAATCCAAATTACTCTGTGACCTGTGGGCCGCAGAATGGATGTTGTATTAGCAGGCATAAAAACATTAATCTGGGCCGGGCGTGGTGGCTCACGCCTGTCATCCCAGCATTTTGGGAGGCCCAGGCGGGCAGTTCACCTGAAATCGAGAGTTTGAGACCAACCTGGCCAACATGGAGAAACCCCGTGTCTACTAAAAATACAAAAATTGGCCAGGTGTGGTGGTGCATGCTTGTAATCCCAGCTACTCAGGAGCCTGAGGCAAGAGAATTGCTTGAACCTGGGAGGCAGAGGTTGCAGTGAGCCGAGATGCACCATTGCACTTAAGCCTGGGCAACAAGATCAAGACTCCATCTCAAAAAAACAAACAAGCAAACAAAAAACAAAGCATTAATCTGGCCGGGCATGGTTTGGCTCATTCCTGTAATCCCAGCACTTTGGGAGGCTGAGGCAGGTGGATTGCCTGAGCTCAGGAGTTTAAGACCAGCCTGGGCAACATGGTGAAAACCTGTCTCCACTAAAACAAAAAATTAGCTGGGCATGGTGGTATGCATCTGTAGTCCCAGCCACTCGGGAGCCTGAGGCACGAGAATCACTTGAACCCAGGAGGTGAAGGTTGCAGTGAGCCAAGATTGAGCCACTGCACTCCAGCCTGGGGGGACAGAGGTAGACTGTCTCAAAAAAAAAAAAAAAAAAAAAAAAAATCTCCTTGAAGATTTCCATCAGAGCTCTTGGATGACCAGGTGTATTGTCATTGACCAGTAATATTTTGAAATGAATCTTTTTCTGAGCAGTAGTTCTCAACAGCAGTTTTAAAATATTCAGTAAAGCATGCTATAAACAGATATGCTGTCATTCAGGCTTTGTTGTCCCATTCACAGAGCACAGGTAGAGATTTAGCATAATTCTTAAGAGCCCTAGGATTTTAAGAATGATGAATGAGTATTGGCCTGAAGTTAAAGTCACCTGCTGCATTAGCCCCTAACAAGACCATCAGCCTGTCCTTTGAAGCTTTGAAGCCAGCCATTGACTTCTCTCTAGCTATGAAAGTCCTAAGTGGCATTGTCTTCTATTTTCATCTACATTGAAAGTCTCTTGTTTTGTTGCAGAGATTGCTTCTTAAACCTCATGAACCAAACCTCTGCTTGTCTCAGACTTTTTTTTTTTTTTTTTTTTTTTTGAGATAGAGTCTTGCTCTGTCACCCAGGCTGGAGTGCAGTGGCGCGATCTCGGCTCACTGCAAGCTCTACCTCCCAGGTTCAAGCAATTCTCCTGCCTTAGCCTCCCGAGTAGCTAGGATTACAGGCGCCTGCCACCACTCCCGGCTAGTTTTTGTGTTTTTAGTAGAGACAGGGTTTCACCATGCTGGCCAGGCTGGTCTCAAACTCCTGACCTCGTGATCTACCTGCCTTGGCCTCCC